TTCTCAGCCAACTTTCCTGGACGACGGCCGACAGGTGAGACACACAACACTTGTTATACTTTGAGCTCAGCAATTGCAGGGAGCAGTGAGAGTGTTGTCTCAGGGCTGGATTTTGCTTTTGACTGTTTGAATGAATCAGTAATTCTGCACGATGAAGGTGAATGTGAGTGGAGTTTGTGCTTCTGAATTCTCCCCTCGGATACATTTCCGTTTGCAGAAGACGTGATCATCTGGAATTCACTGAACGTGTGATTGTTCTGTTCACATGTTCTATTTGACGTGAGTTTGCACAGGTGTCGTTCCCATCAGGGACTGGGTTTATGTTCTCTACATTGTTGTGATCTGCTGCACTCTTTATATTCTCCAATAACCAGCCATTGTATTTGGTCTTCCCATCTGACTAACATTTGGTTGTGTTTTCTAGAGAGTCCTTGGATTTTCCGCCCTGCAAGTGAGTTGCTTTTCCATATCTGCTTCACACATCTCAAGTTTCAGCCTTAAAATGGCCTTGATATTGAGTAACAAAGTAGGGAGCAGCACCACCTCGTATTTGCCTCAGATAAAGCTTGAAATTGAATTAAAACTGCAAAATACTGCAGATGCTGGAAATCTGACAACCAAAACAGAAGTCGCTGGGAACACTCAGCAGGTCTGGCAGTATCTTCGGAGTAAGGAAAGTGAGTCAACGATTCTGGTCCATGACCCTTCGTTGGAACTGAAAATATTTGTCGAAGGCTTGTGGCAGCGAAACATTGACTCACCTTCCTTTCTCCATAGATACTGCTTGAGTTGCTGAGTGTTCCCAGTGACTTCTGTTGTTGATATTGAGGTGTTAGACTGGAGCCGGCAATCACACACGGCATGATGGACTGGGGGGTAGTTTGTGATGTTTGAATCGAGTGCTGGGATCAGATGTGTGTTTTCCTTGTCGGCTTCCACTTCCTTTAGTAGTGACCTTTCTTACTTTCTTACTTTCTCAGCCCCTCCAACACCTAAAACAACTGGTGAGTGAGCCCCATGTTTACTATACCTACAGTCCAGGAAATGCAGAATGTATTGACTATTGACCATAGAAATGACATGGACTTGGGTTTTGGGAGTAGAATTTTCAAGCTTACAGAATATGCTAAGCTAAGAAGTGAAGTAAATTTTGCGGAGGATAGTCGCCGTCTGCAGGCGGCCATAGAAAAACTTGTAAGATGGGCAGATACGTGGCAGATGAAGTTTAATTCCAATAATATGGACTAAAATGCAATGTAATTTGTTTCGGGAGGAAGAATGAGAAGAGGCAATATAAACAAGATAGTAGAATCTTAAAGGGACTGAAGAACTACAGAGATCTGGGGCTTCATATAAGTAAATCCTCAGGTGGCAGGAAAGGTAGATAAAGCTGTTAAAAAAAACATACGGGATACGAGGCTTCACAAATAGGGGCAAAGATTACAAAAGTCAGGAAGTTATGATGAACGTTTATAGAACACTGGTTTGGCAAATGAGGCAAACCTCAGCTGGAGACGGTATTGATTTCTGGGCACCACACTTTCGGAAGGATGTCAAGGGGTTAGGGGGCCTCAGAGGAGATTTCCCAGGATGGTAACAGGAATGAGAGACTTCAGTTATCAGGACAGGCTGGAGACGCTAGGATTATTCTCCTTGGAGCAGACAACGTGAAGAGGAGATGAAATAGAAGTTTCTAAAATTCTGAGGTGATTCGATAGCTTGAAGGAGGAGAAACTATTTGAACTGACAGGTGGGTCAGTTATCAGAGGGAAACCATTTCAAAATAGTTGTTAAAAGAAACAGAGTGGAGGTGAGCAGAAAGTGGTTTCACAAAGCGAGTTAGTTGGATCTGGAATGCATTGCCTGAAAGGGTAGTGGTAGCCAATTCGATAACAACTGGAATCCACTGAACGTGTGATTGTTCTGTTCACACGTTCTATTTGATGTGTGTTTGCACAGGTGTCATTCCCATCAGGGACTGGGTTTTTGTTCTCCCCATTTTTGTGAACTGCTTCATTCTTTATATTCTCCAATACCCAGCCATTGAGTTTGCTCTTCCCGTCTGACTAATGTTTGTTTGTGTTTTCTAGAGAGACCTTGGATCTTCCGCCCAGCAAGTGAGTTGCTTTTCCGTATCTGCTTTATACTTCTCAAGTTTCCGCCTTAAAATGGCCTTGATATTGAGTAGCAAAGGAGTGCAGCACTATCGCGTATTTACCTCAGATAAAGCTCGATATTCACATGTTAGACTGGTGCCAGCAATCACACACGGCATGATGGGCTGGGGTGTTGTTTGGGATGTGTGAACGGCTGCTTTTCTGACTGGAGGGAAGTGTACAGTGGTGCCCCCCAGTGATCGGTATTAGGACCACTGCTCTTCTGATGATACATAAATGAACTGGACTTGGATATAGCAAGTACCATTTCCAAGTTTGCTGACAACACAAAGTTAGGAAGGATAGTAAACAGTGAGAACGATACGAGCCAACTGCAGGAAGACATAGAGAGAATGGTAAAATGGACGACACATGGCAGATGAATTTCAATGTGGAGAAATGCGAGGTAACGCATTTTGGTAGAAAGAATGAGGGGAGTCAATATAGGCTGGTAATACAATCTTAAGGGGAGTAAAAGAGCAGAGAGACCTGGAGGTTCAGGCAAATGAATCGTTGAAGGTGTCAGGACAGGTTGATAAAACTGTTTAAAGGGCACATGGGATACTTGGCTTTATAAGTAGGGGCATAGAGTTCAACAGTCAGGAGGTTATGATTAACCTATGTAAGACACTGTTTAGGCCTCAGTTAGAATACTGCTCCCAGTTTTGGGCACCACACTATAGGAAGGATGTTAAGGCATTGGAAAGGGTGCAGAGGAGATTTACAAGAATGGTACCAGGAATGAGGGATCTTGATGATGAGGAAAGGTGAGAGAGGCCGGGATTATTCTCATTGGAGCAGAGACGGTTAGAGGAGACCTGATAGAGGTCTTCAAAATCATGAGGGGATTTGATAGGTTAGAAAGGGAAAAACTGTTTCCACTGGTGGGTGTGTTGGTGACTGGAGGTCACAGATTTAAAATAGTCTCTAAAAGAAGCAGAGGGGAGGTGAGAAGGAATGTTTTCACACAGCGAGTTGCTTGAATCTGGAATGCATTGCTGAAAGGATGGTCGAGACCAATTCGATAACAACTTTTAAAAACGCGGTGGACGGGTATTTGAGGAGGACAGGTTTGCAGGGTTATGGGGAGAGGGCTGGGAGTGGGATTGACGTTACATTGCTCTTCTCAAAGAGCCGACACAGACTCGATGGGCCAAATAACCTCTTTTTGTGCTGTACAATTCTATGATTCTATGATTCTACAATAGTAATTCAGTGTTGGAACCAGATGTGTGGTTTCCTTGTTGGTTTTCGCTTCCTGTAGTAGTGACTTTTGCTCCTTATTTCTTAGCCCCACCCATACCTAAAATGACTGGTGAGTGATCCCCATGTTTTCTGTACTTACAGCCCAAGAAATGCATAACTTATTGACCATTGACCATATAATGTCATGGAGTTTAGTATCAAGAGTACAATTTCCAAGCTTGCAAGTGAGGAATTGAAGTATATGGTGTGGAAGATATTTATAGACTGCAAGAGGACATAGACAGCCTGGTAGAATAGGCAGACACCTGGCAGATCAAGATTAATTGCAGTAATGTGGAGAAATGCAAAATCATGCATTTTGTGAGAAAGAATGAAGGGAGGCAATGTAAATTAGATAGTATAATTTTAAAGGGGGTGAAGGAACAAAGAGACCTGGGGTTTCAGGTCAGTAAATCTTTGAAGGTGGAAGGACAGGTAGAAACACAAGTGCTCTGAGACTCCGTCTCCGGCATAGTGGGCGCTGTATATATCCAAGTTGTTGTTGTTAAAGAAGCATAAGGGGTACTAGCCTTAAAAAAAAGGGGCATCGAAAACAAATGTCAGGAAGTTATAATGAACCTTTATATAATACTGATTAGGCAATTGAGGTAAACCTCAGCTAGAGACTGTGTTCCATTCTGGGCCCCACATTTTCGGAAGGATGTCAAGGCATTGGAGGAATGCAAAGGAGATTTCCCAGAATGGTTCCAGGAATGAGAGGCTTCAGTTATCAGGACAGGCTGGAGACACGAGGATTATTTTCCTTGGAGCAGATGAAGTTAAGAGGAGACTCAATAGAAGCTTTAAAAATTATGAGATGATTCAATTGGGTGAAGAAAGAGAAACTATTTCCAATGGCGGGTGGTCACTGATTTAAAATGGATGTTAACAGAACCAGAGGGGAGGTCAGGAGAAATAGCTTTACAAAGCGAGTTGTTTAGATCTGGAATTCATTGCCTGAAAGATTGGTGGAAGGCATTTCAATAACAGCTTTTAAGAAAGTACAAGATATTTATTTGGGGAGGACAAGTTTTCAGGGCTATGGGGATAGAGCGGGGCAGAGGTATTGATTTGGAAAGCTCTTTTAAAGAAGGAAGCACAGACACGATGGACCGAATGACCTCCTTCTGAGCTGTATAATTCTATGATTCTATTGAAATTCAAGTGCAGACTGAAGTTGCTTGGTATAACTTTCAACTCTTGCAATACACCGACTGTTTGCGTATCACTTTTGGAGTCAGTTATTCAATTGATTTCAAATTAATTTGTTGTCACATCAAGAGTGGAATCTGTGTTTTGCCTATTTCACTGTAAATGATCTTTTCTGCCTTTTGCAGTTCACCCTCACAAGCCATTCCGTGAGTTACTTTCCAAACCCAACTGGAGCTGAATGTGTAAAACGTCATTCAAATATAGAATTCCCAGATGCGTTCGGTTGAGAATTGCATTGCAGTGTTGGGTCTGATCAGAGACTGTAAAGAATGGGATGAAATAGGAGATTGTTTGGGGTGTTGAATTGTGTGCTGGAGTCAGTGTGTGTTTGTCTTGTCAGCTTTCAGTTGCTGCACCAGTGACTTTTCATTCCTCCTTTCTCAGCCAACATTCCTGAACCATTGCCGACAGGTGAGACACCCACTTGTTATACTTTCGCACAGCAATTGCAGGAGCAGTGAGAATGTTGTCTCAGGGCTGGATATTGCATTTGAATGTTTGAATCAATCAGTAATTCTGCACGATGAAGGTGAATGTGAGTGGGGTTTGTGCTTCTGAATTCTCCCCTCGGATACATTTCCGTTTGCAGAAGACATGTGATCATCTGGAATCCACTGAACATGTGATTGTTCTGTTCACATGTTCTATTTGATATGTGTTTGCACACGTGTCAGTCCCATCAGGGACTGGGTTTATGTTCTAAATTTTGGTGTGAACTGTTTAATTTGTGATATTCTACAATAACCAGTCATTTCCTTCACTCTTCCCATCGAACTAATATTTGGTTGTGTTTTCCAGGGAGACCATCAACTCACGTACCTGCAAGTGAGACACTGTTTAATATCTGCTTGATGAGCTCAACGTTGCCGCCTTAAAATAGGTTTGAAATTGATTAGCAAAGGAGAGAGCAGCACCACCTTGTATTTGGCTCAGTTGAAGCTTGATATTGAAGTGTTGGACTGGAGCCAGCAATCACACACGGCATGATGGCCTGGGGTGCAGTTTGGGATGTTTGAATTCAGTGCTGGGATCAGATGTGGGTTTTTCTTGTCGGCTTTCACTTCCAATCATTAAGAATGTGCTTGGCAAAAGAAGACCATGGTCCATCTATTTCACCTGCCACCATCCTGGCAGTCGCTTGACATGTTGTGTACCAAACGTTATACTAAATCCCGAGATATTATTTTCTGGCAGTAATCTATGTAATTTGTTCTTGATAGAAACAACATTTTCTGCTTTTACTGTCTCCTTATCTATTCCCTTCAGAATCTTAAAGACCATAATCATATTAGGGCCCCTCAACCTTCTCTTCTCCAGTGTGAACATGCCCAGTTTATCTAATCACTACTCATAGTCCAGACCCTCCATCCCCTGAATCATGTTGGTTGCTCTCCTCTGTATCTTCTCAAACGCTGCAATATCCTTTCTATATTACGGTGACCAGAACTGGAAACAGTAATCCAAATGCTGTCGCACCAGTGATTTGTAAAGTATTTGGATTACCCTATGTTTCGGCTCAACATTGCCTTTTAATAAAGCCCGGGATCCAGTTTGGCTTACTCTCTTCTACCAAGTATTTTTGGGAAAGCTTCAATTTTTCATCAATCAGGATCCCAAGGTCCTTTTCATTTTCCGTACAGATTATTTACTTACCTATTAAATAATAGTCCCTTACTAGATTTTTTGTTCCCATGTGAAGCACATTTCATTTCTCGATATTAAATTGCATCTGCCATAGATCTGCCCACTTCGTAAGAATGCTCAAATCTTCCTGTAACCTGTTCTGTTCCTCTTTGCAGTCAACCTCCTTCGATAGCTTTGCATACGCAAAATCAAGAACAATCTGCCTAGAAATCAAGTAGTAAATTAATTTGGCATGATCTGCCCTTCATAAACCTATATTGACTATCTTTTATCATTTATTACTGACCAGGTGCTCCATGATCTTATTTTTAATAAGAATCTCCATCAGTTTATCAAATGCAGGGATTTTTACTCCTCCATTAACTCTAGAAATCCCTTCCCTATCTTACCAGTAGACACATTTTCAACCCAATCAATTTCAGGTAAGTTAATATCTCCAACTGCGATGGTTGGTCCCTTGCTAATCACCTTCCTGATCTCATCCCACAGTTCCAGATCAAGGTTATGACCCTGGTCTGGAGATCTTTAGCAAACCCTCAATAATAGTTGACAGCCTCTGTTGCAATCTATTAATTCTACCGAAAGTGATTCTGTGGCTGCCCATCCTGAACGATGAAGGTGAATGTCAATGGGGTTTACTGTACAGCCCAGGAAATGCAGAAAGTATCTATCATCTTACTGAGATTCACATGCAGAATGAAGTTGCTTGGTCTAAATTTCAACAAAATACACCGACTGTTTGCGTATCACCTTTGGAGTTTGCGATGGTTCTCACCCGTGTTGTAACAAATCAATTTTATTTATGCAAAGGGTACTGGGTGGCCTCTATTTCAGCTCTTTCTCTGTAAGTGCAAGTCCCGACTCTTGTGGAAATTTCACGAATTAGAGCAACGTGCCGACAGGTATTCTCAATTGCCTCCTGCTCTTGCTATTGAGATGCCCTCATTATAGCCTTATTGCACTACCAGGCCTATAATTCCAGTGACTAACTGCTTGTGTGTAAATCCCCACCTCCATCTGTAGAATATTACAGCAACAAATATGCTTTTTAGAAGAAATAACACATGTTTATTAACCCTAAAGACCCTCAGTCTCCTTACTGTGCAGTGTTTGGGGTTGGATTGTGTGCTGCAGTCAGCGTGTGTTTGTCTTGTCAGTTTTCAGTTGCTCCACCAGTGATTTTTCTCTCCTCGCTTCTCAGCCAACTTTCCTGGACGACGGCCGACAGGTGAGACACACAACACTTGTTACACTTTGAGCTCAGCAATTGTAGGAGCAGTGAGAATGTTGTCTCAGGGCTGGATTTTGCTTTTGACTGTTTGAATCAATCAGTAATTCTGCACGATGAAGGTGAATGTGAGTGGAGTTTGTGCTTCTGAATTCTCCCCTCGGATACATTTCCGTTTACAGAAGACATGTGATCATCTGGAATCCACTGAACGTGTGATTGTTCTGTTCACATGTTCTATTTGACGTGAGTTTGCACAGGTGTCGTTCCCATCAGGGACTGGGTTTATGTTCTCTACATTGTTGTGAACTGCTTCACTCTTTATATTCTCCAATACCCAGCCATTGAATTTGCTCTTCCCGTCTGACTAACATTTGTTTGTGTTTTCTAGAGAGACCTTGGATTTTCCGCCCTGCAAGTGAGTTGCTTTTTCGCATCTGCTTCATACATCTCAAGTTTCAGCCTTAGATTGCCCTTGATATTGAGTAGCCAAGTAGAGAGCAGCACCACCTCGTATTTGCCTCAGATAAAGCTTGATATTGATGTCAAAACGCAAAATTCTGCAGATGCTGGAAATCTGAATACAACAGAAGTCGTTGGGAACACTCAGCAGGTCAGGCAGCATCTACGGAGTCAGGAAAGTGAATCAACGTTTCTGGTCCGTGACCCTTCGTCAGAACTAAAAAGATTTGTCGAAGGATTGTGGAACCGAAACCTTGACTCACTTTCCTTTCTCCATAGATACTGCCTGAGTTGCTGAGTGTTCCCAGTGACTTCTGTTGTTGATATTGAGGTGTTAGACTGGAGCCGGCAATCACACACGGCATGATGGACTGGGGGGTAGTTTGTGATGTTTGAATTGAGTGCTGGGATCAGATGTGTGTTTTCCTTGTCGGCTTCCACTTGCTGTAGTAGTGACCTTTCTTACTTTCTTACTTTCTCAGCCCCTCCAACACCTAAAACAACTGGTGAGTGAGCCCCATGTTTACTTTACTTACACCCCAGGAAATGCAGAATATATTGACATTTGAACATGTAAATGACATGGACTTGGGTATAGAGAGTAACATTTTCAAGCTTGCAGCTAATGCTCAGCTAAGAAGAGTAGTAAATTTTATGGAGGAATGTAGAAGACTCCAGGAGGACATTGTTGTAAGATGGGCAGACACGTGGCAGATGAAGATTAATTCCAATAATGTGGACAAAATGCAAAATAATGCATTTTGGAAGGAAGAATGAGAAGAGGCATTGTAAACAAGATGGTAGAATCTAAAAGGGACTGAAGGAAGAAAGACACTTATGGCTTCATTTCAGTAAATCTTCGAAGGTGGCAGGATAGGTAGATAAAGCTGATAAGAAAGCATAGGGGTCACCAGCATTTATAAATAGGGGCAAAGAATACAAAATCCGGAAGTTATGATGAACCTTTATAGAACACTGGTTTAGCAAATGAGTCAATCCTCAGCTAGAGATGGTATTGATTTCTGGGCATCACACATTCGGAGGATTTCTAGGTGTTAGGTGGGGCTCAGAGGAGATTTTCCAGGATGGTAACAGGAATGAGAGACTTCAGTTATCAGGACAGGCTGGAGACGCTAGGATTATTCTTCTTGGAGCAGAAGATATGAAGAGGAGATGAAATAGAAGCTTTTAAAATTCTGAGAGGATTTGATAGCTTGAAGGAGGAGAAACTATTTGCACTGACAGGTGGGTCAGTAATCAAAGGGAACAGTATCTCAATAGTTGTTGAAAGAAACAGAGGTGAGGTGAGCAGAAAGTGTTTTCACAAAGCGAGTTGGTTGCATCTGGAATGCATTGCCTGAAAGGGTAGTGCAAGCCAATTCGATAACAACTTTTAAGACAGATATAGATAATTATTAGGGAGGACAAGATTGGACGGCTGTGTGTATAGAGTTAGGTATTGGAATTGATTTTAATAGCCCTTTTCAAAAAGACGGCAGAGACACGATGAGCCGAATGTCCTCCTTCTGTGTTGTATAATTCTATATTTCTATCACCTTATTGAGATTCATGTGCAGAATGAAGTTGCTTGGTTAAAATTTGTTCTGTTACAACACTCCGACTGTTTGAATATCACTCGTGGAGTCAGCTATTCAATTAATTTCAAGTTAATTTGTTATCACATCAAGTGCGGAATCTGCGTTTTGCCTATTTCACTGGAAATGATCTTTTCTGCCTTTTGCAGTTCACCCTCACAAGCCATTCCGTGAGTCATTTGTTACTTTCCAAACGCAACTTGTGCTGAATGTGTAAAACGTCATTCAAATATAGAATTCCCAGTTGCCTGAGGCTGAGAATTGGATTGTAGTTTTGGCTCTGATCAGAGACTGTAAAGAACGGCATGAAATAGGAGATTGTTTGGGGTGTTGAATTGTGTGGTGGAGTCAGTGTGTGTTTGTCTTGTCAGCTTTCAGCTGATCCACCAGTGATTTTTCTCTCCTCCTTTCTCAGCCAACTTTCCTGGACGACGGCCGCCAGGTGAGACACACACTTGTTGTACTTTGAGCACAGTAATTGCAGGAATAGTGAGAATGTTGTCTCAGGGCCGGATTTTGCATTTGAATGTTTGAATCAATCAGTAATTCTGCACGAAGAAGGTGAATGTGAGTGGGGTTTGTGCTTCTGAATTCTCCCCTCGGATACATTTCAGTTTGCAGAAGACATGTCATCATCTGGAATCCACTGAACATGTGATTGTTCTGTTCACATGTTCTATTTAATGTGTGTTTGTACAGGTGTCATTCCCATCAGGGACTGGGTTTATGTTCTCCACATTTTTGTGAACTGCTTCACTCTTTATATTCTCCAACAACCAGCCATTGAATTTGCTCTTCCCGTCTGGCTAACATTTGGTTGTGTTTTCTAGAGAGACCTTGGATTTTCACCCCTGCAAGTGAGTTGCTTTTTCGCATCTGCTTAATACCCCTCAAATTTCAGCCTTAAAATGGCCCTTGATATTGAGTAGCAAATGAGAGAGCAGCACCACCTCGTATTTGCCTCAGATAAAGCTTGATATTGAGTTTAAAACGCAAAATACTGCAGATGCTGGAAATCTGAATACAAAAACAGAAGTCGCTGGGAACACTCAGCAGGTCAGGCAGCATCTACGGAGTAAGGAAAGTGAGTCAACGATTCTGGTCCATGACCCTTCGTCAGAACTGAAAAGATTTGATGAAGGCTTGTGGCAGCGAAACATTGACTCACTTTCCTTTCTCCATAGATAGTGCCTGAGCTGCTAAGTGTTCCCAGTGACTTCTGTTGTTGATATTGAGGTGTTAGACTGGAGCCGGCAATCACACACGGCATGATGGACTGGGGGTAGTTTGTGATGTTTGAATTGAGTGCTGAGATCAGATGTGTGTTTTCCTTGTCGGCTTCCACTTACTGTAGTAGTGACCTTTCTTACTTTCTTACTTTCTCAGCCCCTCCAACACCTAAAACAACTGGTGAGTGAGCCCCATGTTTACTTTACTTACAGCCCAGGAAATGCAGAATGTATTTCTATTGGCCATATAATTGTCATGGACTTGGGTATAGGGAGTAGAATTTCCAAGCTTACAGATGATGATAAGCTAAGAAGAATAATATATGATGCGGAGGACAGTTGCAGACTGCAGGAGGACATAGTTGTAATATGGGCAGACACGTGGCAGGTGAAGTTTAATTCCAGTAAAGTGGACAGAATGCAAAGTAATGCATTTTGGGAGGAAGTATGAGGAGAGGCTATGTAAAGAAGATGGTAGAATCTTAAAGCGGCTGAAGGAACACAGAGTCCTGTGCGTTCATTTCAGTACGTTTTTGAAGGTGGCAGCACAGGTAGATAAAGCTGTGAAAAAAGCATTTGTGACACTCGGCTTCATAAATAGGGGCAAAGAATACAAAAATCAGAAAGCTATGATGAAACTTTATTAAACACTGGTTAGCCAAATGAGGCAAACCTCAGCTGGAGACTGTATTGAATTCTGGCCACCACATTTTCGGAAGGATGTCAAGGCATTGGAGGAGTGCAGAGGAGATTTCCCAGGATAGTACCAGGAAAGAGAAACTTCAGTTATCAGGACAGGCTGGAGACGCGAGGATTATTTTCACTGAAGCAGAGGAGTTTAAGAGCAGACTAAATAGAAGTTTCTAAAATTCTTAGGAGATTCGATAGGGTGAAGAAGGAGAAACTATTTGAACTGGTGGGTGGCTCTGTAACCAGAGGGCACCGTTTCAAAGTAGTTGTCAAAAGAAACAGAGGGGAGGTGAGCAGAAAGCGTTTTCACAAAGTGAGTTGGTTGGTTCAGGAATGCATTGCCTGAAAGCGTGGTGGAAGCCAATTTGATAACAATTTTTAATACAGATACAGATAATTATTTGAGGAGGACAAAGTTGGATGGCTGTGGGTGTGGATTAGGGGAGTGTTATTGATTGGGGCAGCTCTTTTCAAAAAGCCGGCACAGACACGGTGAGCCATATGGCCTCTTCTGTGCTGTATAATTCTATATTTCTATGATCTTATTGAGATTCACGTGCAGAATGAAGTTGCTTGGTCTAAATTTCAACTCTTGCAATACACAGTGTTTGAGTATCAATTTTGGAGTGATAATTCAATTCATTTCAAATTAATTTGTTGTCACATCAAGTGCGGAATCGTTGTTTTGTCTATTTCACTGTAACTTATCTTTTCTGCCTTTTGCAGTTCACCCTCACAAGCCATTCCGTGAGGCATTTGTTGCTTTCCAAACCCAACTTGTGCTGAATGTGTAAAACGTCATTCAAATATAGAATTCCCAGTTGCCTGAAGCTGAGAATTGGATTGCAGTGTTGGGTCTGATCAGAGACTGTAAAGTACGGCATGAAATAGGAGATTGTTTGGGGTGTTGAATTGTGTGCTGGAGTCAGTGTGTGTTTGTCTTGTCAGCTTTCAGCTGCTCCACCAGTGACTTTTCTTTCCTCCTTTCTCAGCCAACTTTCCTGGACGATGGCCGACAGGTGAGACACAACTTGTTATACTTTCAGCACAGCAATTGCAGGAGCAGTGAGAATGTTGTCTCAGGGCCGGATATTGCATTTGAATGTTTGAATCAATCAGTAATTCTGCACGATGAAGGTGAATGTGAGTGGGGTTTGTGCTTCTGAATTCTCCCCTCGGATACATTTCCGTTTGCAGAAAACATGTGATCATCTGGAATCCACTGAACATGTGATCGTTCTGTTCGCATGTTCTATTTGATGTGTGTTTGTACAGGTGTCATTCCCATCAGGGACTGGGTTTATCTTCTCTACATTTTTGTGAACTGCTTCATTCTTTATATTCTCCAATAACCAGCCATTGAATTTGCTCTTCCGGTCTGACTAATGTTTGGTTGTGTTTTCTAGAGAGACCTTGGATTTTCCGCCCTGCAAGTGAGTTGCTTTTTCGCATCTGCTTCATACATCTCAAATTTCAGCCTTAAATTGCCCTTGATATTGAGTAACAAAGGAGAGAGCAGCACCACCTCGTATTTGCCTCAGATAAAGCTTGATATTGAGCTCAATACGCAAAATACTGCAGATGCTGGAAATCTGACAACGCAAACAGAAGTCTCTGGGAACACTCAGCAGGTCAGGCAGCATCTACGGAGTAAGGAAAAAGAGTCAACGTTTCTGGTCCATGACCCTCCGTCAGAACTGAAAAGATTTGTGTAGTTTGTGATGTTTGAACTTCGTACTCGGATCAGATGTGTGTTTTCCTTGTCGGCTTCCACTTGCTGTAGTAGTGACCTTTCTTACTTTCTCAGCCCCTCCAACACCTAAAACAACTGGTGAGTGAGCCCCATGTTTACTTACAGCCCAGGAAATGCAGAATGCATTGACTATTGGCCATATAAATGTCATGGACTTGGGTATAGGGAGTAGAATTTCCCAGCTTACAGATAATGCTAAGCTAAGAAGAGTAGAAAATTTTGTGGAGGATGATAGCAGACTGCAGGCGGCCATAGAAATAATTGTAAGATGGGCAGATACGTGGCAGATAAAGTTTAATTCCAACAATATGGACAAAATGCAATGTCAATGTGTTTTGGAAGGAAGACTAACAAGAGGCAATGTAATAATAATAAATAATATTAATCCTTGCATTTGATACAGCGCTTTTCACGTCGTCAGGACGTCCCAAAGCGCTACACAGAATACACTGTATAGTGAATTGACTGTATATTTGTGTGCGAACGCGGCAGCCAATTGCGCACAGCAATGTCCCACAAACAGTCGTAGATTGAAAAGAACCAATTTATTATTGTTTCTGTTTTGGAGGGATTATTATTATGCGTGTGGAGTAAGGAAACTTGCCCAAGGTTTCGCCGTGCCTGGAAGTGAACTCAGGTCTCTCGGTTGCAAAGCGAGTGGTCTAACCACTGAGCTACAGGACTCCACAATGTAAACAGGACAGTTGAATCTTAAAGGGGCTGAAGGAACACAGAGACCTGGGGCTTCACATAAATCTTTGAACGTAGCAGGACAGGAAGATAAAGCTGTTAAAAAAGCAAAGGGGTTACTAGGCTTTATAAATCGGGGCAAAGAATACAAAAGTCAGGAAGTTATGATAAACCTTTAGAGAACACTGGTTTGGCAAATGAGGCAAACCTCAGCTAGAGACGGTATTGATTTCTGGGCATCACACATTCAGAGGATTTCTAGGTGTTAGGGGGTGCTCAGAGGAGATTTTCCAGGATGGTAACAGGAATGAGAGATTTCAGTTCCCAGGACAGGCTGGAGGCACTAGGATTATTCTTCTTGGAGCAGAAGATATGAAGAGGAGATGAAATAGAAGCTTTTAAAATTCTGAGAGGATTTGATAGGGTGGAGAAGGAGAAACTATTTGCACTGGTGGGTGGCTCTGGAACCAGAGGGCACCGTTTCAAAGCTGTTGTCAAAAGAAACAGAGGGGAGGTGAGCAGAAAGTGTTTTCACAAAGCGAGTTGGTTGGTTCAGGAATGCATTGACTGAAAGGGTGGTGGAAGCCAATTCGATGACAACTTTTAAGAGAGATGTAGAAAATTATTTGAGAAGGACAAAGTTGAATGGCTGTGGGGGTAGAGTGGGGGAGTGTTATTGATTGGGGCAGCTCTTTTCAAAAAGCCGGGAAAGACACGATGAGCCCTATGGCCTCCTTCTGTGCTGTATAATTCTGTATTTCTATGATCGTATTGAGATTCACGAGCAGTATGGCCTTCTTCTGTGCTATATAATTTTATATTTCTATGATCTTATTGAGATTCACGTGCAGAATGAAGTTGCTTGGTCTAAATTTCAACTCTTGCAATACACAGAGTGTTTGAGTATCAATTTTGGAGTCAGTTATTCAATTCATTTCAAATTAATTTTTTATCACATCAAGTGTGGAACCGTGTTTTGCCTATTTCACTGTAAATGATCGTTTCTGCCTTTTGCAGTTCACCCTCACAAGCCATTCCGTGAGTCATTTGCTTCTTTCCAAACCCAACTGGTGCTGAATGTGTGAATCATCATTCAAATATACAATTCCCAATTGCGTTCGGTGGAGAATTGGATTGCAATTCAGAGACTGTAAAGAATGGGATGAAATAGGAGATTGTTGGGGTGTTGAATTGTGTGCTGGAGTCAGTGTGTGTTTGTCTTGTCAGCTTTCAGTTGCTGCACCAGTGACTTTTCATTCCTCCTTTCTCAGCCAACATTCCTGAACCATTGCCGACAGGTGAGACACAAATTTGTTATACTTTCGCACAGCAATTGGAGGGAGCAGTGAGAATGTTGTCTCAGGGCTGGATATTGCATTTGAATGTTTGAATCAATCAGTAATTCTGCACGATGAAGGTGAATGTGAGTGGGGTTTGTGCTTCTGAATTCTCCCCTCGGATACATATCCGTTTGCAGAAGACATGTGATCATCTGGAATCCACTGAACATGTGATTGTTCTGTTCACATGTTCTATTTGATGTGCGTTTGCACAGGTGTCAGTCCCATCAGGGACTGGGTTTATGATCTAAATTTTGGTATGAACTGTTTAATTTGTGATATTCTACAATAACCAGTCATTTCCTTTGATCTTCCCGTCAAACTAATATTTGGTTGTGTTTTCCAGGGAGACCATCAACTCACGTACCTGCAAGTGAGACACTGTTTAATATCTGCTTGATGAGCTCAACGTTGCCGCCTTAAAATAGGTTTGAAATTGATTAGCAAAGGAGAGAGCAGCACCACCTTGTATTTGGCTCAGTTGAAGCTTGATATTGAAGTGTTGGACTGGAGCCAGCAATCACACATGGCATGATGGCCTGGGGTGCAGTTTGGGATGTTTGAATTCAGTGCTGGAATCAGATGTTTGCTTTTCTCGTCGGTTTTCACTTCCAATCATTAAGAATGTGCTTGGCAAAAGAAGACCATGGTCCATCTATTTCACCTGCCACCATCCTGGCAGTCGCTTGACATGTCGTGTCCCAAACGTTATACTAAATCCCAAGATATTATTTTCTGGCAGTAATCTATGTAATTTGTTCTTGATAGAAACAACATTTTCTGCTTTTACTGTCTCCTGAGGGAGACTGTTCCTCAAATTTACTGTTCGCTCACTGAGTGTTTCCGCAGATTTGTTCTGATTTCGACAGATTTACCCCCTTTCAATCGCAGGTCATGTCCCCTGTTCAGCACAAGAAATATCAGCTTGGCGTGGTCTACATTATCTATTCCCTTCAGAATCTTAAAGACCATAATCATATTAGGGCCCCACAACCTTCTTACCTCCAGTGTGAACATGCCCTGTTTATCTAATCACTGCTCGTAGTCCAGACCCTCCATCCCCTGAATCATGTTGGTTGCTGTACCAACTGTATCTTCTCAAACACTGCAATATCCTCTCTGTATTACAGTGACCAGAACTGGATACAGTAATCCAAATGCTGTCACACCAGTGATTTGTAAAGTGTTAGGATCACCCTATGTTTCGGCTCAACATTGCCTTTTAGTACAGCCCGGCATCCGGTTTGGCTTTCTCTCTGCTCCCAAGCTTTGTTGGGAAAGCTTCAATTTCTTATCAATCAGGATCCCAAGGTCCTTTTCATTTTCTGTACAGATTATTTACTTACCTTTTAAATAATAGTCCCTTACTGGATTTTTTGTTCACATTTCATTTCTCTACATTAAATTTCATCTGCCGTTGATCTGCCCGCTTCCTAAGAATGTTCAAATCTTCCTGTAACCTATCCTGTTCCTCTTTGTAGTCTACCTCCTTCGATATCTTTGTGTCGGCAATATCAACAACAATCGGCCTAGAAATCAACTGGTGAATTAGTTTGGCATGATCTGCCCTTCATAAACCTATACTGACTATCTTTTATCATTTTATTACTGACCATGTGCTCCATGATCTTATTTTTAATAATAGTCTCCATAACTTTATCAAATGCAGGGATTTTTACCCTTCCATTATCTCTAGAAATCCCTTCCCTATCTTACCAGTAGACACATTTTCAACCCAATCAATTTCAGGTAAGTTAAAATCTCCAACTGCGATGGTTGGTCCCTTGCTAATCACCTTCCTGATCTCATCCCACATTTCCAGATCAAGGCTATGACCCTGGTGTGGAGATCTTTAACAAATCCCCAATAATAGTTGACAGCCTCTGTTGCCATCTACTAATTCTACCGAAAGTGATTCTGTGGCTTCCCATCCTGAACGATGAAGGTGAATGTCAGTGGGGTTTATTTTACAGCCCAGGAAATGCAGAAAGTATTGACCATCTTATTGAGATTCACATCCAGAATGAAGTTGCTTGGTCTAAATTTCAACTCGTGAAATGCACCAACTGTTTGCGTATCACCTTTGGAGTTTGCGATGGTTCTCACCCCTGTTGTAATACATCAATTTTATTTATGCAAAGGGTACTGGGTGTCCTCTGTTTCAGCTCTTTCTCTGTAAGTGCAAGTCCCGACTCTTGTGGAAATTTCACTTATTAGAGTAACGTGCCGACAGGTATTCTCAATTGCCTCCTGCTCTTGCTATTGAGACGTCTTTATTATAGCCTTATTGCACTACCAGGCCGATAATTCCAGTGACTAACTGCTTGTGTGTAAATCCATACTTCCATCTATAGAATATTACAGACTCTAATATACTTTTTAGAAGAAACAAAACATGTTTATTAACCCCAAAGGTCCTAAGTCTACTTTCTGTGCAGTGTTTGGGATTAGATTGTGTGCTGGAGTCAGTGTGTGTTTGTCTTGTCAGCTTTCAGCTGATCCACCAGTGACTTTTCTTTCCTCCTTTCTCAGCCAACTTTCCTGGACGACGGCCGACAGGTGAGACACAAACTTGTTATACTTTCAGCACAGCAATTGCAGGGAGCAGTGAGAATGTTGTCTCAGGGCCGGATTTTGCATTTGAATGTTTGAATCAATCAGTAATTCTGCACGATGAAGGTGAATGTGAGTGGGGTTTGTGCTTCTGAATTCTCCCCTCGGATACATTTCCGTTTGCAGAAGACATGTCATCATCTGGAATCCACTGAACATGTGATTGTTCTGTTCACATGTTCTATTTGATGTGTGTTTGCACAGGTGTCGTTCCCATCAGGGACTGGGTTTATATTCTCTACATTTTTGTGAACTGCTTCACTCTTTATATTCTCCAATACCCAGCCATTGAATTTGCTCTTCCCGTCTGACTAACATTTGTTTGTGTTTTCTAGAGAGACCTTGGATTTTCCGCCCTGCAAGTGAGTTGCTTTTTCGCATCTGCTTCAAAATGGCCTTGATATTGAGTAGCAAAGGAGAGAGCAGCACCACCTCGTATTTGCCTCAGATAAAGCTTGATATTGAGGTCAAAACACAAAATACTGCAGATGCTGGAAATCTGAATACAAAAACAGAAGTCGCTGAGAACACTCAGCAGGTCAGGCAGCATCTACGTAGTAAGGAAAGTGAGCCAACATTTCTGGTCCATGACCCTTCATCAGAACTGAAACGATTTGATGAAGGCTTGTGGGGGCGAAAGATTGACTCACTTTCCTTTCTCCATAGATATTGCCTGAGTTGCTGAGTGTTCCCAGTGACATCTGTTGTTGATATTGAGGTGTTAGACTGGAGCCGGCAATCACACACGGCATGATGGACTGGGGGGTAGTTTGTGATGTTTGAATTGAGTGCTGGGATCAGAAGTGTGTTTTCCTTGTCGGCTTCCACTTGCTGTAGGAGTGACCTTTGCTCCTTACTTTCTTACTTTCTCAGCCCCTCCAACACCTAAAACAACTGGTGAGTGAGCCCCATTTTTACTATACTTCCAGCCCAGGAAATGCAGAACGTATTTACAATTGGCCATATAAATGATATGGACTTGGGTTTTGGGAGTAGAATTTTCAAGCTTACAGATAATGCTGAGCTAAGAAAAGCAGTAAATTTTGTGGACGATAGTCGCCGTCTGCAGGCGGCCATAGAAAAACTTGTAAGATGGGCAGATACGTGGCAGATGAAGTTTAATTCCAATAATATGGACAAAATGCAATGTAATTTGTTTCGGGAGGAAGAATGAGAAGAGGCAATATAAACAAGATAGTAGAATCTTAAAGGGACTGAAGAACTACAGAGATCTGGGGCTTCATATAAGTAAATCCTCAGGTGGCAGGAAAGGTAGATAAAGCTGTTAAAAAGCATACGGGACTCTAGACTTCACAAATAGGGGCAAAGATTACAAAAGTCAGGAAGTTATGATGAACCTTTATAATTGGTTTAGCAAATGAGGCAAACCTCAGCTGGAGACGGTATTGATTTCTGGGCACCACACTTTCGGAGGATGTCTAGGGGTTAAGGTGGGCTCAGAGGAGATTTCCCAGGATGGTAACAGGAATGAGAGACTTCAGTTGTCAGGACAGGCTGGAGACGCACGAATATTCTCCTTGGAGCAGAGGATGTGAAGAGGAGATGAAATAGGAGTTTTTAAAATTCTGAGAGGATTTGATAGGGTGAAGAAGGAGAAACTATTTGCACTGGTGGGTGGCTCTCTAACCAGAGGGCACCATTTCAAAGTAGTTGTCAAAAGAAACAGAGGGGAGGTGAGCAGAAAGTGTTTTCATAAAGCGAGTTGGTTGGTTGAGGAATGCATTGCCTGAAAGGATGGTGGAAGCCAATTCGATGACAACTTTTAAGAGAGATGTAGATAATTATTTGAGAAGGACAAAGTTGAATGGCTGTGGGGGTAGAGTGGGGGAGTGTTATTGATTGGGGCAGCTCTTTTCAAAAAGCCGGGACAGACACGATGAGCCCTATGGCCTCCTTCTGTGCTGTATAATTCTGTATTTCTATGATCGTATTGAGATTCACGTGCAGAATGAAGTTGCTTGGTCAACTCTTGCACACAGAGTGTTTGAGTATCAATTTTGGAGTCAGTTATTCAATTCATTTCAAATAAATTTTTTATCGCATCAAGTGTGGAATCCTCGTTTTGCCTATTTCACTGTAAATGATCTTTTCTGCCTTTTGCAGTTCACCCTCACAAGCCATTCCATGAGTCATTTGCTACTTTCCAAACCCAACTGGTGCTGAATGTGTAAAACGTCATTCAAATGTAGAATTCCCAGTTACCTTTGGCTGAGAGTTGGATTGCAGTGTTGGCTCTGATTAGAGACTGTAAAGAATGGGATGAAATAGGAGATTATTTTGGGTTTTGAATTGTGTGCTGGAGTCAGTGTGTGTTTGTCTTGTCAGCTTTCAGTTGCTCCACCAGTGATTTTTCTTTCCTCCTTTCTCAGCCAACTTTCCTGGACGACGGCCGACAGGTGAGACACAAACTTGTTATACTTTCAGCACCTCAATTGCAGGGAGCAGTGAGAATGTTGTCTCAGGGTCGGATTTTGCATTTGAATGTTTGAATCAATCAGTAATTCTGCACGATGAAGGTGAATGTGAGTGGGGTTTGTGCTTCTGAATTCTCCCCTCGGATACATTTCCGTTTGCAGAAGACATGTCATCATCTGGAATCCACTGAACATGTGATTGTTCTGTTCACATGTTCTATTTAATGTGTGTTTGTACAGGTGTCATTCCCATCAGGGACTGGGTTTATGTTCTCCACATTGTTGTGAACTGCTTCACTCTTTATATTCTTCAACAACCAGCCATTGAATTTGCTCTTCCCGTCTGGCTAACATTTGGTTGTGTTTTCTAGAGAGACCTTGGATTTTCCCCCCTGCAAGTGAGTTGCTTTTCCATATCTGCTTCGCACATCTCAAGTTTCAGCCTTAAAATGGCCTTGATATTGAGTCGCAAAGGAGAGAGCAGCACCACCTCGTATTTGCCTCAGATAAAGCTTGATATTCACATGTTAGACTGGAGCCAGCAATCACACGCGGCATGATGGGCTGGGATGTAGTTTGGGATGTTTGAATTCAGTGCTGGGTTGTTTGTTTTCCTTACCGGTTTTCAGTACCTGTAGTCGTGACCTTTGCTCCTTACTTTCTCATTCCCTCCGACACCTAAAACTACTGGTGAGTGAGTCACTTGTTTACTGTACTTACAGCCCAGGAAATCCAGAATGTATTGACCATTTTATTGAGATTCACGTGCAGAATTAGTGAATTTCTAGAATAATTGAATCTGTATTCTGCTAATTAAAGTTTAGTTTATTGAAAACACAAATCACTGTAATAAAAAATAGGTGGAGGATAAGGAATCTGAAGTATTTATTTTCTTTTGCTCAGATTAACCCATCATGTATGCTATGCTTTCCCCTGCAATGTGCTCTGTAACCTGTACATTTGCTTGCTGGGTCAACAAGAGCTGGGTTTGCAGATTGAATCAGATTGAATAGGATATGGCTATTTGATGGCAGTTGATTGTCGGGATAGCCCTGGAATTTTTGAATTTCTCATTTTGGAAGATTTTTCTCCTGACAGACAATTCTCTTTAAATTATTTTTACAATGGAAATTGTTTGAATAATTTTGTCTGAGTGCCCAGTGTTTGCAGTTCTGGTTCACCTCCTTCAAGAAACAGTGACCTGAAAGCACTTAGTTGCTTGAAATTGAATGCACTCTCTGAAGAAGAGGTACTGTCAGGTTACAAGTTCAGGTAACCTGGTTCTTGAGAGAAGGTTTCTAACTTTCTCAGAGGTTTACTGTATTTTTCTGGCTCCTAGACGTTTTTCAAATAGCCTAAAACATCACAGGTAAACAATAGTTCAACATGTTTGATCAGAGAGATTACCCTTTACACTCTTTCATCTGAAACCCAGTTCTGTTCATGTACATTGGCAACAAATCACTAGTGCTGAATTTCCTGATTTTTTGCTTTGGAGACTTATGAGAATGCAATTTTTAAAAATATAATCCTCAATGAAAGGTTTTATGTTCTTGGCTCTACAATAGAGCCCACTGCAGTTACCACATCAACACCATTTATACAAAGGAATGGTTGGTAAACCAATTACACACTTGTTGCTGTTGGGTATTAAAGGACAGTAGCTCATTGGTTTCAGGATGGCTTTATCTCTGTCTATTAAATCCGATTGACATGCACACACACCAATGGCCTACATTTATTTTACCTTCCAACATCTTATTCCAAGTTAAAAGTCCTCTTCCAAGCAATATCCATCCACATCCACACACCTACACATTGCCTCCCATTAATTGTTTTCTGCAAAGTATTTAACAAATCTATCCCTCTTCCTGCAGGCATTAGAAACATTTCTGGAATGGGTTTGAGTCACATATATCTCTCCCTGTTACAAATCATCCCAACATGAATCAGTACTCGGAATGATATCTTTCTGAAAATCTTTTTATTTAGATCGTCAGTTTGCTCTCTTAAATTTGTGTCTTTTTACCTGAGTGTTGGAGAATGTAAAAATCCCACTTAATACTGGATGTCTGTGTCTGTTGAGTGTAGTTACTAGTATGTACATCAAGCTATATGGTATGTCTTCAGTTCCAATTGTGACCCCATGGCCTTACATAAATTTCTGGTCAAGGTACATTATTAAATAATAAGATTAGATAATATTTATCCAAAGGAATAGTTTTACAATGCAGACAAGCAAAGATTTACTTTGAAACCGTGAGTGAACTATAGATCATTTTCTGTATTATTCTAATATTTTCGACATTGTTGAGTGGAATTCGGCATAAACTCTAGCACAAAGACTTACTAATATTTTACTGAAAACATTGGTAATATTTCACTCAAAATGCTTTAAAATGTTAATTGTTTTTTGTAAATGCTTTTTACAGAATGTTTTGTTGATGGAAGACTTCTGCAGGTAACAAGCTGTGTCCGTCTCACAGATCCACCTGATTCTGACAGACAGCCTCCACAGCAAACATTAAGATTGTATTTGTTTTTCCCTACAGCCCGGAGAAAGTGCTAAGATCAAAGTTAACAACTGTACAAATATAATTGCAACTTGTATGTATAGAAATCACCACTATTTCCTCAGGAAAGAAACAGTTGCACAGACTTGTCCACCTGAGCCTCATCCAGATCAGAACTGTGTAAGTTTTGTTCCATATGGAAACATTTCCTCTTCTTAAAAGCCTGCCTTTTCTCACATTTCCCACAGGATACTGTCATGAGAGCCCAGGAAGAGAAATTATTTTGTGTTTTTATTGCAGATACTGAAAGGCTATGATTCCAGTGGATGCTGCCAAGTATACGAGTGTAATCGTATGTGCTATTGTTTCTCATTGCTCTGCAAGGAGTTTTTATATCAAGTCAGCTCGTTGTGTCTCAAGCTTGTTATGCAAATCAGCAATGTCATTCCCGAATGAAGCCTACCAATGATAATGGGGGACTTTAATTATCCCAACCTAGACTGGCAAAACAACCACTCAAAGGGCAAGGAGGAGGAAAGATTCCTAAAATGCATACAAGACAACTTTCTTGATCAGTACGTTTCCAGCCCAACGAGAAAGGAAGCAGTGCTAGATCTAGTTCTGGGGAATGAATTAGGACAAGTGGAGCAGGTTTCAGTGGGAGAGCATCTGGACAACAGTGATCACAACATCATTAGATTCAGAGTGCATATGGAAAGGGACAAGGAACCATCAAAGGTGAAGATATACTCAAGTGGAAGAGAGCAAATTTCAGTGAGTTAAAAAGGAACCGAGCCAAGGTGGACTGGAAAGAAAGATTGGCAGGTAAAACAACTAAAGAGCAGTGGGAAGTCTTCAAGGATGAGATAGCTCGGAGAGAGAATAAATACATTCCCACAAAAGGGAAAAGTAGGGCTTCCAAACCTCCCTGGATGATGAAGGTAATTGTATCCAGAATGAAGCAGAAAAAGGAGGCGTATGACAAATATCAAACCCAAGATACAGAAGACAAACAAATCGAATATAGGAAGTGCAGAAGAGGTTTGAAAAAGGAAATAAGAGAGGCAAAAAGATTATACGAAAAAAAGTTAGCGGGTAACATTAAAGGGAATTCTAAAATATTTTACAAAGATATCAAGAAAAAAGGTTAGTCAAAGGTAGGGTGGGGCCAATTAAGGACCAAGGGGGAAATCTTACTGTGGAGGCAGAGGCCATGGCTGATGTGCTGAATGAGTACTTTGCATCTGTCTTCACAAAAGAAGTGGATGCACCAAATGCCGCAGTATCGGAGGAGAGGGGAGAGGAAATGGATAGGATAAGTATAAACAGAGAGGAAGTACTGAAAAGGTTGACTGCGCTAAAGATAGATAAGTGGCTCGGTCCGGACGTGATGCAGCCAGAGTACTATGGGAGGCACGGGTACAAATAGCAGAGACTTCGGCTACAATTTTTCAATCTTCGTTGGACACCGGGGTAGTGCCAGAGGACTGGTGAGTGGCCAATTTGACTCCCCTGTACAAAAGGACAGAAGGACAAACCTGGAACTACAGGCCAGTCAGCCTAACATCAGTAGTGGGGAAACTCCTGGAGACTATAATCCGGGACAGAATAAATCTTCACTTGGAAGAATATGCGTTAATTAGGGAGAGCCAACACGGATTTGTTAAAGGCAAATCTTGTCTAACAAATCTAATAGAATTTTTCAATGAGGTAATGGAGAGGGTGGATAAAGGAAGTGCAGTTGATTTAGTTTATATGGACTTTCAAAAGGCATTTGACAAAGTGCCACATGAAAGACTTGAAAGAAAGATAGAAGCCCATGGTATAAAAGGGACAGTGGCAGCATGCATCCAGAACTGGGGGCTGGAAGACAGAAAGCACTGCACTTCTTAATATACATAACTGATCTGGACTTGGGTATAGCAAGTACCATTTCCAAGTTTGTGGACAACACAAAGTTAGGTAGGGTGGTAAACAGTGAAAAGGATAGGAGCCGACTGCAGGAAGACATAGAGAGAATGGTAAAATGGGCGACACATGGCAGATGAGTTTCAATGTGGAGAAATGTGAGGTAATGCATTTTGGTAAAAAGAATGAGGGGAGTCAATATAGGCGGTAATACAATCTTTAAGGGGGTAAAAGAACAGAGGGACCTAGGGGTGCAGGTAAATGAATCCTTGAAGGTGTCAGGACAGGTAGATAAAGTTGTAAAAAGGGCACATGGGATACTTGGCTT